AAAAATAATAATAATAAATTAACATGTGATATTTTCTTTAGCGTTGTTACACAGTACTAAACATAAATGATCTAATTATATCAATTTCTCTAACTATAATTTTTTTTATGAAAACTAAAACAAAATGTTAATAAGGTTGATAATAACAATATTTCGTTGATAAAAGGAAATTTTCAGCAGAAAATGAACCATCAATAATCTATCGGTAAAAGGTTTTACTGGCAAATAGTAAAAGAAATTTTGGTAATTATGGACAACAACATTTCTATGATAATTTTCGATAAACATAAATATGTGGGAGATTTTCTGTCGGTAAATATATTTAATATTTATATTAAATCAAATCTAAAATAATATTTTTAATTCATTTACAAAAAATTTCAAGCTTACTGCATAAGAACCGCTATTATGAACATTAAATTTTGGAAAAAACATAACCGTCAAAAAGCAAGTGTAACTTCAGTTTAAAATTAAAATAGCTAAATGGAACAATTGAAAAAATAGACATTGCATCTAATTTAGTAACTCAATGAAAATGTGTTAATCATAAATCTTAAACTATGGCAGTTCCAACCCACCGTTTTAACTTCACGCCAGAATCATGATACAACAACATTAACTAAATCCATATATAAACAGGCATCAAAATAATGAAATCCAATTTTACAACGTACAAAATTAATATAATTTAATCTTGATTTATGAAAAATTGATGTAATTTTTTTTTTAAATTTGGATGTAAATCGATGTAATTTCTTGAAATGAATCAAAAATAATTAATCAAAATTGAAATTATTAATAAAAATGATTTATTTTGTTGATGTAATTAATGTAATCTTAGTATCAATGTTTAGAAATATTGATTCTTTAAAAAACTTTAACTAAAAAGGTAAAATTATATCAATTTTTCATAAATTAAAACCAAATTACATTAATTTTTACTAATCAAAATCAAGTTACATCAATTTTTATAAAACAGGATAAATTAATATTAAAAAAATTGAAATACGAACTTGACATTTGAACAAACACATGTACCAAATGAAAACCTTAAAATTATTATCAAAATTGTGTTTTAAGTATCATTAAAATGTTTTAAACATGTTATTTGATTAAATGCAACTATCAAAGTTCGAATAGAAAAGTTGAATGTTTGTCCCTAAAGCTGTTAAAATAAGTAATTCGGCTTAACCCGACCGACTTATCACAGGTTGGTAACTTAGTGAATCATCCAACCCGATTCATTCATTCAAACCCGGTCTGATCCATCACGGGTTTAAACAGGTTGACTCACTTAATTATTTAATTATAATTTTTTTTAAAATAAAAAAATGACAACTTTTATTTAATTCAAATCTAAAAAATGTCAGATTAAAATGATGTTAAACTCTAAAGACAATTCAAAATTAAAAAAAATCTCATACAATACAAAGGTAATCCAAAAACATGTACAAAAGACAAATAAATAAGTTTTTAATATTGGTAATTTTTGTATCACTTGTTCATTTATAATATTAGAATTTTGAATAGATAAATCTATAATATTTTTCTCTCTGAAAATATTTTATTCTTTATCACCATCTACCATATAATAAAAAAATACTAACTAATAATATTGAAACAAAAAAATAATAAATAATTAAATTAAATTAGGTGGGTTGGTGAGTCAACTCACTTCACCATGAATTTAATCCAGTAAGTTGGATTCTAAGTGAACTAGGTTGAAAATTAAATTACATAAAAAAAAATTATATATTTTTTTAAATTCAACTCGGATTGATGCACATGTTGTTAAATAGTGACAGTATTATTTGTCCCTTTGCCTTTTAAATTAATTATGGGGAGTTGAGAACATTAGATAACCCTTTGGACTTTAAAATAGAAATCAGTATGCCATGATCTAACTATTGCTGTAGGATAATTGATTGGAAAGGTAAACAGATGGGATAACTCATTGCTCTTGATAAACACAGTACCCCCACATTAAGTAATCATATACTGCTTGACATCTTTTATTGCTTAATGCACTTTTCTTCTACTACTACTACTACTAATATATAATCTTAATTGTCTACGTGTTATTACGTGATTGTGTTATTACGTGATTGATCTATATTAGTGTTTATGATTATTATTATTGATCATAAAATAATTTTGAACTAATCATAAAATAATACATAAAAAGTGTTAAAATATTGTCAAAAAAATATTATGAAAGTATCATTTAAAAAAAATTGGAATCTTACTGAAATGATGGATCATGAATATAAAAAAAGAGAAATTAGACAGGGAAGGTTTGTCACCTAGCAGTTTTTATCAGATGAAAACGATGAAGAGGGTTTTGTCCCGAAATAGATTGTAATGCTACAAATATCTGCTACCTCTGAATCTACCTTTATGCAATAGGAATCATTACAATGTTAGAATGATTTTACATCAGGCTAAAAGTATCACTCATAACTAGAATTACGTCTTATAAAAAAATGAAAATCATTTATGCACTTTCTAAACTTTAATTCGTTCTGTCTCTCCTACAATTGCATCATCAAATTTAAAAAATAATAGACGTAATTTTCTTTTTTAACAATATTTTATTTGACATTTAAATTTAAATTTAGAACAAATAATAAATTTTAATTTTACGTCAAAATTTGGTACTAAAAATATGATTAATTATTTATAATATATATTAAATTTTAATAAGAGTGATTTAATATCAACTTAATTGTATATAAAAAATTTATTGAACAAATTCTTAAATGATACACTAATACTCTTATATAATTATATAATATAAAGAAAACATATTAGGTTTTCGACACTACCACTTTTTATTTAAGGTGAAGTTGAGTTAATTTTTTAGTTGTATATAGACGAAAACCGATGAACTTAGTTGAATAATAATTGAAAAAAGAGATACTAATGTAAAATCCATGAGAATAAGTTATAATTGGGTTGTTGAAGAAGGAAAGAAAGTCCAAATTGCAGAATATTCTCTCTTACACATTCGAATGAGAGTAAAAGAAGTGATAATAACAATGAATATAAGATAATTAAGTGAATACTTCATTTTTATATTGATAAATATTTTTAGGTTTTCAAACCAACATATAGATTACCTATTTTATATTTTAAAATCCATTATTTAACCATTATATCATCAAGAAACGGAAATCTCTATTCAATTTTAATATGCATCTCAAATTTAAATATAACAAAGGCAAATTGATACAATAATTAACAATTGCCTTATATTTTTAAATTTTCATATATACAAATTGTTTTTTTATCCCTGTAAAAATAATACGAGGTTTCATTCCTCCAAAATTATAAATTATTATTTATTGTCCTTAAACTTATATTAGAAAAATAATTATTTCATTCATTCCAAAATAGAGTTATATATATATATATATATATATATATATATATATATATTGTTTCTTTCCAAAGCAATAGTCCATTTTGTTTTTTTTTTAAGTTTTTTTTTTTATAATTGAAAGTAATTGATGCATAATCGATTACATTGAAAATATATACACAAGTATTCAAAAGTTAAGGATAATTTTGACTAAATTTGTACCCATTAAATATTTCTTCATCTGAGTATCGTACCTTAAAATATTGTTGTTCTTAAATGTTTGAAAAAAATTTAAGAAGTCATTATGCTACATTTTAGTAAATATCATTAAAATGATCACTTGAATTATTTTTAGACACATAAGCTCTTCATAGGATGATACTTTTAACAATTGGGAGGCAAAGATACCGAAATGAAAACTAAAAAAAAATTAATAATAAATTTATGGGAATTAAAAAGCTAAAAGTAACTCTTCCTATAATTACTTGAAAAATATGTTATTAACATGTATATTAAATATTATGCTTTTAAGATATTAAAATTATTTTCATTTAACATTTATCAAAATAAAATTTTAAATGCTTTTTTATAGGAAAAATATTAAATATTTTTTATTTAATTTTTTTCTTAATTGCTGTTACCACCATGGCGAAAAGTTTGTTTTTAACTAGAGCAGGTCAATGTTCTTTTAAAGTAACTAGTATACTAGTATCTTATTATGTATAGATAAGTACTAGTTGAATGACAGTAAAAACTATTAATATATTTTTTTTCTCAAAATAATAAACATCCTTATTATATACTCTTATTGAGGGCAATGTAATATCCTTTTAAATATTATGCCATTTCTGATAGAAAAAGTAATTATCATTAAAATGTTTTTCATCACTAATGATATGTCGATCAATAAAAAAATAATAAGATAATCAATATATTTTATTATACACTTTTTCAACTAATTTTTATTAGTTTTAATTTCTTATAAAGTAAAATATTATGTAAATTTTATTTATTATTCAATCATTCCTCTTTATAATCTTTAATAAATCTAAATTAATAAACATATAGTAAGGCCGCCATATCAATTACAAATCTCGTTAAATATGATCACTTTAATTAAACTTTCAAGCATCATCTGTATTTTTAATTTATATTTTTTCATTAATAGTTTTTATTTATTTTCCTTTTTAAAAATGATATATCTATTATTTTGACTATATCCAGATAAAAGACAACAACAACATAAAAATATAAAATATAAAAAAGGAAATAAAAACATGCCAATAAATAAATATAATATAAATGAGAAAATAATTTTTTCTTAATCCTTAAACCGCAATTTAATACAGTTGAATGCTTAAGAAATTGTATTATTCTAAAATAAGAAGAACGTACTTTATGAAAGAAAAAAAAATGTTCTTTAAAGAATGAAAACGCAAACAACAATTAACAGTTAAAAATTAGTAATTCAGACTTTTTCTTATGTATCGATTGAGATTAGAATAATCTTTAGATTTATTTCATTTTAATACAATTATGAATTGTTGTTTTTCTAATCAACATCAGGAGTACATTATCTCATCTTAGATTTAATGCATCAAAATACCAAAGGCATGTTTGGAATGGAGGAAATTTGAAGACCGTGAATATTATGAGTATAGAGGATTTGATTCCGTAGTTTGGAGATGTTAAATTAGCACCAAACGCTTCCCTTATCCTAGTAAGTTGATCTCTGTGTCTGTCTGAAGATGAAAAGTTGTGTCGGTGTTGTCGTTGTCTGAGAAAGAGGAAGAAATGGGGAGTGGAGTGAACAGAAAATTTTCTGCAGCATCAACCCGTGCTCATTCCTCGAACCAAAACAAAACCACTTCAATTCACTTCCTTTCAGGTCCCACTTTTGTTTTTCATCTTGTTGAATAAAACGAGCATCATCATGTGCATTCTTCAACTGAACTGCATTTGGCATATTCCTCTGCCATCCCCTTGTTCTTTGTGATTTATTATCATATCATGTTCATTTGATGGGACTTCCTCACTTTTTTTGTTTTGCTACCGTCACAGTACTAAATTCATATTCTTATCTTTATTTTGAAAAACTATTTTTATTTTTTAAAGCAATTTTACATTATCCCAGGAATTTTGAGAACAGTGTTCGCTGTGTTGTTCATTGTGGTCGTAGCATGGGGTTATCAGGCAATTCAACCTCCTCCCCCAAAGTTGTGTGGTTCTCCTAGTGGCCCCCCTATAACAGCACCCAGAATCAAGCTAAGAGATGGACGAAATTTAGCATACAAAGAGCATGGTGTTCCAAAAGATGTAGCCAATCACAAAATCATCTTTGTTCATGGTTTTGATGCTTGCAGGCATGATGCCTATGTTGCAAAAACCTTATCACCTGTAATTATTTGTTTATTTTTGTTTGTTTGGTTTCATTACATTCTATGCTATTTTTGTCGATGTATTATCTGAATTTGTGATGGGGTTTTTCAGGATGTTGCTGAGGATTTAGGGGTCTACATTGTATCATTTGACAGACCAGGGTATGGGGAGAGTGATCCTCATCCAAGCCAAACAGTGAAGAGCCTGGCACTAGATATAGAAGAACTTGCTGATAAATTGGGACTAGGATCCAAATTCTACATAATAGGTTTCTCTCTTGGGGGTCAGGTTGTTTGGAGGTGCCTTAAGTACATCCCTCACAGGTATGATGTATTCAGGTTTGAGGTAACTCTGTTGGCCTCAAACAGAACATTCTTTGGTTGTTTTTTCTTTTGTTGGCATGTAAATGTTTATGTCCCTTTGGTTGAACTTGCATTTTAGTTCTTTCAGTGATACAAGATCTTTGTTCATCTGCACTTATTATGCAGAATCTGTTGCTCCAGGCGGTCCAAACAAACTTTGAATGAATATTAATGTTAACTTCACAAGTGTAAAATGCTCGGGTTTGGGAAATTGGTGGGGTGATTATTCTTGTCTATGACATCAAAATGAGTGGGGTAATTGTGCTTGTCATACCAAATTATGCAATACTTAAGACTCTCATTTCTGTGTAAGTGTGTAGTACTTAAAGAATTGTCTGCAGAAACTACACGAGGACATCAAATTTCTTGAAATAAGTTGTATGAATCTATGAGCCATTTTCTTTATCTGTATTCTTTGTCACAATGAAACAAAATTTCAATGGTGACAGGTTGGCAGGTGCAGTGCTGATAGCCCCAGTGCTGAACTACTGGTGGACTGGTCTTCCTAGAAACTTAACAAATGAAGTCTTTTACCGACAAAAACTACAAGACCAGTGGACACTTCGTGTTGCTCACTACATTCCTTGGCTAACTTACTGGTGGAACACTCAAACATGGTTTCCATCTTCTTCTTTAATTGCTGACAGTTTAGATCTTCTTTCCCTTCAAGACAAAGAACTTTTGCCTAAGAGGATAGATCGAAAGAATCATGTGGTATCTTGCTTATGCACTGAAACTCATCTAACTTCACACTTCATATTTGCTGTGATTTGACTCATTCCAATAGATTTTGATGTTTTTGGATGAATGTTATGCGTAAAGTTAGAACTTGATCATCTTAATAATCTGTTTGTGTTGCTTGCACTTTCAGGGTGAGGTAAGACAGCAGGGAGAACATGAAAGTGTCCACAGAGATCTAATTGTTGCATTTGGTAGCTGGGAATTTAGTCCTTTGGATCTGGAAAATCCATTTCCAAATAAAGAGGGTTTGGTTCATATTTGGCAAGGAGATGAAGATTTGATAGTGCCTGTTAAAGTGCAAAGATACATTGCACAAAAGCTTCCATGGATTCAATATCATGAACTTCAAGGTGCTGGCCATTTGTTCCCTCATCTTGATGGTATCAGTGATACCATTGTTAAGTCACTTTTAAATGCCCAGTAAAATTGTTTGGATAATTTATAAAATTTCAAATCTAACCCTTCTTTTTTAGAGAATGTATTCATTGTATAACTTTTGTTTTGTCATTCAACTATACGTCTGTGTTAACTTTTATATAACAATTATTTCACTTAACTGCACCGTTTTTAGTTATAAACTTTTTATTTATTTAGTTAAAATATAAATCTTAAAATAAAATTTAAGTCCTACATACTCTAATATACACTCAATCATGTGGTAGTGTTGATAAATATCATTTTTTTGTTTTTCATTCGTAATGTCACACATTCATAATCATATAGAAAAAAAAATATTTTGGTGACTTAGTTTTATTAATGTGAATGTCAAACATTTTAATTATGTCATGCATTTGCAGATTTTGTGCAGCAAATTGAATTTTTCTAATTTACATGTTTTCCTTGAACTTTTTGTGACAAATAGGTGTAAGAATTTATTACGCCAAATCATGAAAAATATCCTTAAAAAGACATTTTTCTACAAAATAATATGGTGAGAATTATCTACTGATACGTTACCTTTCCCTAGAAAAAAAAAACATTTTTCTAAAATTACCCACAGAAAGTGAAATTCTTGGAAAACTTTCCCTACGAGTATATTAAGAGAAAAAAAAATTATCGTCAAAAGTTCATGGGAAAAAAACATTATTACCCGCGAATTTAGAGGTATCCACGAATTTTGGTCATACAAATTTTGAATTCAGTTGATTTGCAATGTGGTTATTAAGAAGAAAGAATATTTAGTATATAAATATATAATATAAGCATCAAAATGTGTATGTATATAATGTTTTATATTATTAACTAATAAACAGGTTCAATAATTGAATTAGTAAATAATCTTTTATTCATATAATTGTTATAAATTTTTGTGTTGATTTTAGTTACATTAAATTAATTAAATTGATAGCTTGTTAATTTTATAATAAGTGTATCAAATAGTTTATATAGTAATCGAAAATTCAAGTATAATTTTTTTAAGAGATTTGTGTGTTATTAGTTATCTGTGTATATTTATTTATATGAATATTGATCAATCCAAATTTAATAATAGATGAAATTAGATTAAAAAAATATATAAAACCATTAAATTAAAGTTACGTTACTCGATTAGAACAAAGGTTTTGGGTTTTATGTATTCAATTCAATGCAATGATCTAAATCATAGAATTCTAGCATCTCTAAATCATATAATTCTAGCATCACTCAAGCATTCACACCATAAGTTTAGAAATTTTAATTTTTGAAAGATAAGTTCTAAATTTTTATGTAAAAATTATAATCTCTTAATTATTTTAACAAAGATTTGCATTAGGAATAAGTATTTAGAACAACCAACATGTTAGAGTCTATGTCTAAAATTAGAGCTGTCAAAACGGGTAATCCGGCTCGACCCGGTCGGCTCACCACCGGTTGGTCGCTTAGTGAGCCAACCCAACCCTGATTCACTTACTAGCGAACTGAAAAAATTTGAACCTGACTCGACCCATCACGGATTGGTGTGTTAAATGGATTGATTCACTGACTCATTTAATTATAAGTTTTTTTCAAAATAAAAAAGTTGTAATTTTTTTTAATTCAAATCTAAATAAAAGTTACACTAAAATTATGTTAAACTCCATAGACAATTCAAAATAAATAAAAAAGTATCATACAATCCAATCGTAATCCAAAAACATGTACAAAAGACAAACAAATAAATTTTTAATATTGATAATTTTTGTAACACTTTTTCATTTATAATATTAGAGTCTTGAATAATTTTTCTCTCTTAAAACATCAGTTCAAACTCATGGTGAGCCGGATTGACTCGCAGATTACAATCCATTTTTACAGCACTATCTAAAATCACACTTGTTAATTCTTGTCTAAGTTCAGAAAGCATAAAGAAAGAACATAAGAATCAAATGTATATTGCATAATAAAAAATTACATAAAATTAAAGTACATTTCATCTAACCTACCTTAATGAATGATGAAGTTAGTTACTTTTACACATTTGGAGCCCAAATATAATACATGAAAGATGAAAATGAAGGAAAGACTTTCTTGAGCTCTGGATGAACATATTCTATGGTCTCTTGTTGCATTTTCACACCAAAAATTCTTCCATTTTTGTCAAAAACTTGACTTTTCAACAACTCAGTTTCTTACTAAATAACTATGGATGAGAAGGTGCTTTTTGTGTCATAGTTAATTGTTTTTATTCTTTGGATGAATGGTCTACTCGTTGAGTGAATATCTGATCTTGTCAAATGGATAAGAATATAAGAATATAAATTTATGAAAAAAAAAAACATAATTATCACACAACAGTAATCCAAAAAAAAAGTTTTCCTTCAATTTTCTTCGATCTTCATTTTTTCCACAAAAGTAATCCAGAAAAAAAGTAATTACATCTTTATTAAAAATAAATGTTTAGATCTTAATATTTTTCATAAAAAAATACAAAAATACATTATATAGAGATAAATAAAAAAACCTAAAAAGTATAAAAAAAATAATTATCACACTATCATGGACTGACATAGAAATCATGATATATTAAAATATAATATTAAAAAAAAATAAATAGTTTTAATTTTCTCTTATAGTAATTATTGTTCGATTTATTTGTTTGTATTTATGTTTACTCTAAATTTAACAAGGAGATACATACTGGTTGCAAGAACATAAAGTTGCTAGAGTTTAAGTCAAGAAGGTTTCTTTTTAAAAGGTATATTAAAATAGGTTAACTCTCTAACTATACTAAAAATATGGTTATTTTGTTATTTATATTATTACAAAACTGGAAATGTGACACCCGGACACTGACGAGCGCGGGGAATGATCGCCGGTGCAAGAAGCACGAAGTGCAAGGGACACTGACAAGGAGCGGCTCCTGGCAGGCTTCCAGTGGAAGAGACACATGAATGAATCGAACATACATCGGAATGAGAGAGATCTAGAGACTACATAGGTATGAGATTATACAGTTGAAGGATAGCTTAAAGGGATTGATTTGGCTACTCATATCACAAAATGTATTTGCTTTTCGGTAGCCTAACTCATAAGAACTCCATGATTAAACGTGCTTAGTATTAGTATTCCCTGTAAGTTGCCGGGACATTACAGGAAAAGTCCTGTTTGACTACAATATTATTTAATACAATTTTAAAATAAAAATCATCCAACCTACTAAACTATACACACATTATTTTTCTTTGTTCTTTAAAAAAACATTTTTTATTTTAAATATAAATTAAGTAATAAATGACTAAGATTTATTAAACAAATCTTTGATTTCAACAGGCAACAAAAAAGATTCAAAAGTCCTCAAACTATATGTATGTTTTAGTTAAGAAAAAAAATTGTCTCTTATAGCTATACATATATTGTTGCATATAATTTTTAATCCTAAAACAAAATGAATGTATTTTAAAGTTTTTCTCCTTCATGAATTAGTAAGCCGGGGATAAAATATGAAACACAATTATGAGAAAGAATAATTAATGTGAAAATAGTATAATAATATAATTAAAAGGTGAATAAATAATATTGCAAAATAAAAAAATTTGAAAGGAATACGTGTTGAGCTGAAAAGATATGATGTACAACACAAGTCCACACGTGCGACACCTGTCCTATACGTGTCGAGTAATGTAACCTATTGGGAAAAATATTTGTATCTATTGCAGCATTTGACATTTATCTTCTTCATTAATTTTGAATACCTCTTTTTGTGGGGTACCCTGAGCTGGAGTTAACCATATAGACGAAGATCTATCCCTTAAGTTGCAGGGTAGTGTGCCTTTTATGAATCTATTTGCTAGTTTCAGTGTTTCTTCTAAATAAATTTGAACACAATCTCTCCATCTATTTCAATCTCAAAGTTTTAGCACTGCTACAAAAGGAACTTCTTCAATACTTATATCAGTCTCAAATTGAAATTTCAATTTCCAGGTATCTATGTCCCTATGCAATTTTGCAAGATTATTTGTTTCTTTTCCATCACATCAAACTTTTTTTTTCTTGATTCACCATGGATTGTTATGGTTTATGTTTCTTCATCATTTTTTCAGTAACCATTCTGTGTGTATTGATTTTCTTACCACCATTTTCACCAAAGGAGGAAAAATATTCCAAACATTGAAAGTATTCTACTCAATAACATTAAAGGTGTTTTGATCCAAAATTTTATATTTCTTATCAAGGAAATAAAGAATATAATATTTTTTTCCCTCAAGTCATTCTAAAATGGAGCTTAGAAACCCAAACAACAAATTAATTGGAGAGAAAAAAAATGCTTCTTTGAACCAAACCTAAAACAATATTGTTTTGAAGTTATATGAACTCTTGAGTATATTGATGGTGCAATTTTCAACTCTTTTTTGGTGTTGATGGTGCAGATAAAATACTGTATATTTTTTAAGTGAATTTATGTAGAATCAGAATTGGTATTTATCTCTTGATCATCTAGTTTTGGATAATATTAAATAATGGAAGTATGTGAAAAGCATCTGGTTCCACCAAAAAGTGATAAAAATTACCATGGTCCCCACTTGAAATAATTTACTTGTATTAATTGAACATATTAGTTCTAATTACAAATATTAAAGCTAGTTATGTTCTTCTCTTGTGAATATTAATCAATTGAATTTTAGAAAATTCTAATTAAATGTCTAAATTTATATGAATGAATGGTGGTATGAATTTCTTTGATATATACATATAAATTCAAATTATTTAAGATTATGGAGCATTTCAATTGTCAGATCATATTAGAGAAACTGAATTAACTATTATATAAAATACGCATTAAAAACATATTCTAAACTTTGTAACCTTTTAAAATCTTTGTATTTTTTAGTAATAAAAAAAATACTAATCAAGTGGTGGTTAAATAAAGTGACTCTTTCTTAAGAGGGTTAACATATCATGCATTTGTTGTTGTGTGAATTGTAATATATATTCATAAAAGTTTTTGAAGACATGATTTGATTGGTTTGGTGTTTCATCATCAAACAAAATATATTCATTTAACAACTTATAATTAACAACTTAAAATATCTACAAAATAAAAAATCATTTACTGATTTAAAATAATAATACTTTAATCAAATTTATTTGATTTAAAATAGGTAGTAAAATGGCGTAATTTTTTTTAATGAGTACATCATTGTTTATTGTATTATATTTTCTGAATCTTACTTTACATTTGTCTTGTATGTTACTTTGTTCTCATCTGGTCTCTTGAAAGAAGAAGGAAAAGGAGATGGTGGTTGAAGAGGGTGAGATGAATTCCCAAGGTGAGGCGGAATCAAGATTCCAACAAGATGCCAACAAGAACCACCATTCTCAGTTCCCACCATCATCCATTGGAAGAGAAACATCTATATATTCTCTTACACTGGACGAGTTCCAGCACAGTCTATGCGAGACCGGCAAAAACTTCGGTTCCATGAACATGGACGAGTTTATCAGCAGCGTCTGGAACGCAGAAGAGAATCAAGCCATAATAACCTCTTCCAATCTCCCTCTCTCCCAACCCTTCACTGACAAAGATCCAACAACTCTAAGGAAACAACCAAGCCTACCTCGCCAACCCTCGCTCTCTCTCCCTGCACCTCTATGCAGGAAAACCGTGGATGAAGTTTGGTCCCAGATTCAGAAAGAACAACACGACAGCACTAACAACAACGAAGTTTTGGATAATACCGAGTCTGCCCCTCGCCAGCCCACTTTCGGTGAGATGACTTTGGAGGACTTTTTGGTCAAGGCTGGGGTGGTTCGAGAACAACCATGTGCACCACCACAGTTGTCTCATCACTCTCACCACCTCCAACACCAGCAGCAGCCGCAGCCGCAGCAGCAGCATTACACGAGTAACAACGGTGCAATGCCGGGAATGGGTTCTCCTTTTGTTGGAAGGAATGTTATTGGTGAAGTGAGTAACGTGGTTGCACCGGGTTACCAAGTGGGGGAGGCTTCTGGTGGGTATGCTGTAAACGGTAAGAGGGACGGTGGTGCGGTGTTTCATCAGCAAGGTGTTTCCTTTGGAGGAAGTGGGTATGGGATGGGTCCCACGATGGGAATGGGTGGGCCTGTGAGTCCTGCTAATTCTTCTGATGGAATAGGGAATGATTGTGGGCAGTTTGGGCTTGAGATGGGTGGTTTGAGAGGTAGAAAGAGGATAGGGGATGGTCCTGTGGAAAAGGTGGTGGAGAGGAGGCAAAGGAGAATGATCAAGAATAGAGAGTCAGCTGCCAGATCTAGAGCCAGAAAACAGGTGCATGTCTCCTTTTATCATTTCAATGCAGTGTATGCATCTCAGGTTGATTTGTTATAATTTTGATAATGAATTAATGGCCGAAAGAAATGTGATGGAAAAGTATGTTATGCTATTGTAGTAACCTGAATTTGTCTTACTGCATAATGTCTGGTAGAAACGTGGAAAGGAAGTAGATCGAGCATACACTAGTTTATTTTTAGTAGAGACTCACTTTCAATGACATTAGAATATCATGTTCTTTGAGAACTTGCTCGGAATTCAGACTAAAAATGGCACTGAAAGTAGGAGTTTTTCTGGAAATTTTTGGTGGATATTTGAGGAAGGATTGTATTAAGCTTCATTTGCAGAACCTTATAGGGTTTTTTCCTTCGCAGGCATACACGGTTGAATTAGAAGCGGAACTAAACCAACTAAAAGAAGAGAACTCCCAACTGAGACAGGCGCTGGTACTGCCAAATTACGTTATAGCTTATGCAGAATGTTGAAAATTTTCATCCGTAATTGAGGTATTGGTAATTCAATTATACTGATAAGGATCTCACTTGCATATTTCAGGCTGAGCTCGAGAGAAGAAGAAAGCAACAGGTAATCACTTACTGATGGTCATCTGATTAGCTTGTAGTTAGAATTTAATTACATCATGGGTACAAAAGCTTTGGTTTAGCATGGTCCTTTCCTATTCCATGACCATTATGAGACAGTAAATCAATTGCTAATACTGTCCAATTTAATATGATTTTTTATTTCCCATGACAAAGCTTGTAGAAATCTGTGATATATAGGATCTGGGCTAATGGAGACACCACCCTTTATGTGAAGCAAATAGCTTATAACCTCATCTAAATGTGCCTTTTTGTGATCATTTGCAGCAGATTTTTGAAGAATTAAGCAATATTAGCGTTCAAACCAACGCTCAGAAAGTAAAAGAGAAAGATAAACTGAGAGCTTTGAGAAGGTACATGAGTTATCCTTAGTGAAGAAACGGCATGGTAACCAGTGAAATTTTGTACGCACCAGAGTTTCTTGTGACTAGTATGGCTAAATGAAAAAGAAAGTCAACTGAAGTTATAGCTGGTTGAAGAAACAGAGAAACTAAAGGGCGGGGAAGCTGCAAGAGTTCTCAAATTAAGATCAACGAAGAATGGGATCATCCAATTTGGATGACTCTCCTTATCAAATCATAGTTAATTTCTCAGACGTACAATATATATAGTTTTTGTAATATTCATGTCATTTCATCGTTGACTTGTGTGTGTACGTTCTCGTTTACGCCTATCACACCCTCGCTTTCTAGTTTACTTTATATGTATTTTCAGTATAAAAATATATCGACAATCAATCAAAATTTATTGTTCATTATATGTGTTTTATGATAATGAATTATTATTAAACTTAGCATCTTATCCTGCCATTTATGATTGGATAACTTTTGCTCTATTGTCTTCTTTTTATACCTTTATTACGATGAAGGGGTGAAATTATGCTTAAACGTGTTTTTTATACACGTGGTAACAACTAATTATTATAACCCAGTGGGTGTCCAAGAGGTGAAATACTTCGTTTGTTCACAAAATGACATTTATTTCGATCACTCAGTGTGTAAATATACGTAGTTTTAATGTTTTGCACACAGGAAGAGATCTTCATGCTTTAGATTAATGATTCATTTTAATTTGTTTAACATAAGCTATAGATGCGCTGATAACTAGTAACTACTACTATGAATAATTTGCCAACTTCCATTTTTAGGAAACAAGAACGTGTACGATTCAGAAGAAACAGCAAACATTTACAATGCAGTAATGTTCAAGTGCATAAAAATAGCCACAAATAGGCTCCGTCTGTCTACTTCCACAAGCAAAAATGTAATAAACAATAGAAAGAAAGGGGTTGTGATGGAAACCGAAATTCACTCATATACACAGAATCTATAACTTTACAATTGAAGAATTCTTGTGATTCAAGACAGAAGAAATGGACAAAAGAAACTCATGGGGCATGCTTCTATCTTCTTTTATTTGGATGGGTTACATGAGTGCAACAGAACCCACTACTCATATTCAAACTCAAATTTTACATGCCCATATTTTCTTCCCAGTTGAAGAATGAATTCAGAGAATCTGGAAAGAATTTGGCACTCTTCATGTGTTTTTACCTCTGAAACATGACCATGTACAACCAATTTTTTCAAATTGGGACATCCTTCCAAAAGTCCAGCTACCCAAACTGAGAAAAGATCACTGATTACAGTCCATCCAAGTTCTAACACCACCACATTCATCAAACAAGACAAACCCTGCAAGCCATAATGAAGCACTCCATCTCTTAAATCATAACTTAACGACAAATGCGTCAATAGAGGAAAGCAAACAGAAATTGTCTCTATATCAACAACCTCATCCTCATCATCAAAAACAACACCCCACAGCCGAAGCTTATGTAACTTTGAGGCTTTTGATATCATGTGATAAAATTTTGGCCACATGATTGTGAAGTTACAAACATCTATAATCTCAAGGTTCTCCGTACTATCCGCAATATCGAGATGCATGACATTCACGTCATCAATTTTCAACGCTTTCAGTGTCCCCTTTCCAACCAGCTCAAAAATCTCAAAAGTACATTCTTTCAAATGAAGTTTCTCGAGCAAATCCACCTCCAATATAAACTTATCCGAGCTAAACAATTCAAGGTGGAAATCCTTCAAAGAAAGACTGCTAAGCTCCACAGAAGCCTGAGAATCTGATATTGCAATATCTGGACTAACCATAGCCAATGTTTCAAGCTTTGGACAAGACGACATCAGAAGACTCAAATCCAACGCCGAGATGCTAACAAAACTCAACGAAAGCGACTTCAAGCAAGGAAACTTCAAATAACCTGGCTCAACCCCAATGATGGAATTGCGAGCCAATGCCAGCACCTCCAGCCTGTGCCTGCTGCATTTCTCGATGATGTTGAAACAAGGGACAGTCCTTACATTGTAATGCAATTGGCGCAAGGAATCCCTAGTATACATAAGCCAAGCAATGACGGGGGCGGCAGAGAACTCACGGTCATCATCCATGAAAATGGTCAAAAACTGCAGTGCCTTGGTTTGAAAAATGGTCTGAGTGATGAGTATTTCCAACCTAGCAGAGGAATAGTCATTATAGGGAGGCCAATCACTAAAATTGAAAGAAAGACTGTGGAGATGACTGCGCCATGCTTCCTTCCATTTCTTGCAAGTTGCAGAAGCAACCACTACATCCCGAGCAGAGCCGAGAAGAGACAATATGTTACCGATCACTTCCACAGGAATGTGGTCCATAATAGTAGGATTAAATAAATTATCGGAATTAACAATTACTGAACCACACCTTCAATTTCAAAAGAATTCAATCCAATAAATCAGAACCTGTGCAGTATAAGAAAGTTCCACAAATTAAACTCATCAACAACAATAACACTAATTCCTCGATAAACAAAAAATCAGAGATCCTATACAGTGAGTGATGGGAGTGATTAAGGTCAGAAAATGGAGTTAGGAAGATTGCATTGAATTAAATGGACAAATAGGAGAAAGTTAAAGATAAAGGATTAAACGAACCCGAATAGACTCACTTGGAGAACGAAAGGATCGTGTTCTTAGCGCAGAGAATTTGGAAATCGAAGAATCATAACATCCAAAATTTCGCTGAAATTTCTCTCACTAGACGAAGGAAAGGAAATTCTTTATGTTACGGCGAGACAAAACGGGAGTGAGTCTTCAAAATCGTGGGCGGAGTCCTTCGCACGTGTTAACAACTAACCCTTGCGTACTTATTAAAACTTAACTTTTTCCTTCGATTTTTAAAAAAGAGTTTGTTTGAATTTTAAATTAATTATGTATTTTAATTAAAATTAATTAGTAATGGTTAGTAATTAACAAAAGAACTCATTAAGAATTTCCCTTTTTCTCTCTTTTTACTTCACGTCAATCATTCATCAATAATGTGATATGTTAACAACTAATTTTTGTCAAAAACGTCATCTGTCAACAAAGGATTAATTAGTTTGAAATTAATTTTTTTTGAAATAAAGGTGACGTAAAAAATGGTTCAGGTACATATTTTGTTGATTCCAAAATTATCCCGTTCTTCTTCTCTTCCTATTCTCCCATAATTCCCATTTTTTCGTTTTTTCCATTTCTCATTCTTCAGTGTTTCTCCAACCTTTGTTCAATCTCTTCATTTACATGGTACGAACCAAAAGATCCCTTTGTATTAAAGTTTTGCCTTTTTGGATTCATTCCGTTGACGATATTGTGTGTAATGAAATCCTCTTGGTGGTTCAAGCAAGGAATATGACTTTATCTTTTTTTTATTTGTGTTTTCGCTTTATCCTTTTATTTTCGCTGTTGTGTTTTTGTGGCCTATTATTTGTTGTTTAATTTTTTTGGGTATCGTTTTGGGTTTTTCCTTTTCTTATTTTATTTTTTTATGCAGTTGTGCGTACTTTAGAGGAACAAGAATACCTAGTTAAAGAAGTAGAAACCAAGTCACAGTTGGTTGAAGAGAAAAATAAATAAAAATTATTGTGGACACAGTAGTCAAGAATCCCACATGAACAAAGACTTTGAAAGTCCGGGAGACATTTACACCCACCAACCTAGTATACAACGGTTTGTGAGGGTCAGATCACGAAAGCTTTACAAGAGTAAAACGCTTAGAACCCCGTACACTAGAAATTGTGTGAAACATGAGCGATTTGTGTATGTAGTTGTTATAGAAAGTAAGAGATCATTGTACATAGATGAAAAAAAAATGTATTGTAACAAATTTTGTGAATGTTAAAAAATATGCAACTTTATTTCCGTTTATTATTGTGAATGTTATTTGAAGTGTTATTGCCTTATTTATTGTCATTGTCAAATGAGTTGTTGTTTGGAATGTTAATAAACAATGTGTTCAATGGGATTGAGTATCATCCATGGATATGACAAAATTTTATTGCATTTTTGGCACGTGTAGCTCATACAGTCCCTTGTAATCCATTACAATAACCCGGTAAATGATTAAACATACAAAAATTTGGTTTTGTAAAAAACTTGTATTGCATACCCAACTGTGAGAATGTCACATCCCAAAGGCAATTTAAGTTTTTTTTTTCAAATTTCTTCAATGTGTAGGTCATACAGTCCCTTGTAATCGATTACAATGGCTCTGTAAAGGATTACACGTACAAAAATGTCGTTTTTGAACGCCACTCCCCTAAGACAATTTAAGTATTTTTTTCAGATTTTTTCAATTGTAATCGATTACAATGGCCTTGTAAACTATTACACTTACAAAAATTTGGTTTTGTACACAAATTTTTACTACAATACCCAGCTGTGAGAATGACTCCCCAAACGCAATTTAAGCATTTCTTTTTCATATTTCTTCAATGTAAGACGTACAGTCCCTTGTAATATATTACAATGGCCCTCTAAACGATTACACATACAAAAATTTGATTTTGTACAAAAACTTGTACTGCAGTACCCAACTGTAAGAACATCACCCCCAAAGGCAATTTAAGTATTTTTTTTTTCAGATTTCTTCAATGGGTGAGACTTCTTTTTAGTGTTTAAGTGTAAGTAGAGCTTGAAAACTGAGGTTTGGGCAGTCCATGGTCAAGGAAAGACCCAATGTTGGTGTGATGACCAAGTTAGGTGAAGTTCTCAAACAAGTGTAGGCCATACAGTTCCTTGTAATTGATTACAATGGCCCTATAAACGATTACACATACAGAAAATTGGTTTTGTACAAAAACTTATACTGCAATATCCAGTTGTGAGAACGTCACTCCCCAAAGGCAATTTAAGTATTTTTTTTTTCATATTTCTTCCATGGATGAGACTTCTTTTTAGTGTTTAAGCGAGGGGAGCTTGAAAACTGAGGTTTGGACCGTCCACGGTGAAGGAAAGACCCAATGTTGGTGTGATAACCAAGTTAGGTGAAGTCCTCAAACAAGTGTAGGTCATACAGTCCCTTGTAATCGATTACAATGGTCCTTTAAATGATTACAATTTTAATTTTAGAAAATATACTCAAAACTCTTTCCAATGACTACTCATTTGTGATTTTTGGACATCGTGTAGTTAATTCCTTAAAGTTAACGTTACTACCACCTCTTACCTTTGCGGGTTGTTTTGCTCATAACTTTCTCCATCAAACTCCAAATGAGTTGATTCTTGTTTTGTTGGAATGTAGGCTCAAAGATCTTTCAAATGACTACTAACTCATAATTTTTTGACCACTTTAGTAGATGCAGTTAATTTCCCAAAACAACAATTTTTCTAAGCTTCCTAAATGAGTTTACTTTCAAGTTATTATTTCATGTTTCTTATTTTATTCTATTCTATTTTATTTTTTTTATAAACTGTGCATAATTCAAGGTAAAATAGTAGTATAATTAAGGTGTGATGTGATTTTTTCTAGGCACCAACACTCAATTGAATTGGATCTATTTTAGGAACCAACACTCAGGCCTATCAAGATCGCTTATAAAATCAATTTATGTACCAACCCAAATAATCAAATAAAGGTTTTAATATATATGGTCGAACAACACTAGGAGAAAACGTAGGGTACTAGATCAAAATTGAAATTTTTTTCATATAATATATTATCAGTACATATTACCCAACATTTATAATCATAATCTTTTTATACAATGTAAATATATAGGCAACTAATCAACGTACAATTGAAAACCTATATAAAATCCTAAGTGTTGCAACACTGGTTGTCTTCGCACACGTTGTCATTGTCTAGAATCCAGTCCATACATATTTTTGTCTAAATACTTGCAACTGCTCCTGAAATCAACACAAGTCACTTTAAGAAATTAACACAATACCAAAATCACCAAGTCTTTTAACAAAGTTACTTATACATACATTGTTGTAATCCGACATACTTTTCCCATTGTATTTGAGAACATTTCTAACACATTTGATATTTATATATCACATCACTTCAATATCCTAATAAGGCAATAGACAACAACTTACCCTAAGAAAAGGCCATGTTGAGAAACTTTACCCCAACTAATATCTATAAACAGAACAATAAAATAATATGACCAAATAAATAATAATAACCACAATGGAAATAATAATTTAAATTCTATTTTATTCTCTAATCTTTCTTAACTACAAGAGAAGACATTACAAATTTGCAATTAGTTATATGAAATTAGCTTTCAACTACACAAATCTTATAATGATATTCACCAAGCGTTTCATTTACTTTTCAAACAAACTCAGTCACTACATTTCCCTAAAACTCCAATATCCACAATAAAAATAACCATGCAAGAAAACCCTTTTCTCACCGAACAAAGCTCAAACCTCAGAGAAAGAAGACACCTTTACTCGTTGATGGAGAACTCGAGAGAGGTGGAGAGGCAGAATGCTACAACGCTGATGGAGCAACGTTGGGGAAGGTCACCTTCTAGCTTGCAATTGATGGATGAGAAAGCAAGGACAAATCGCAAGAGAGAAGGGGAAAATAGCACGACACAAACGAAAAGAAAGAGAGGAAGAAAGGGGAAAATGTCGGCAGAGAGTAGAGGTAACGGAACCAAGTTCATCGACGATATGGAAAGGAAAAGCGAGATAGACGAGGGAGAGAGAGTGAGAGCTTTGGTGGAGAGAGAGTAAAAACTTCGCGAGAGAGGAAGAAGATATAAAGCATAGTAATCTTCTCAAATAAAATCGTGAAGCCCCTCTTTTCTTCGAAAAACACCCTCCATGTAACATTATTGCTTTTAAAAAGGCACTTAAAACGGACCAATTCCGACTGACAAAAAGTAATTGTTAAATAAACGTTTTCCTTTAAGTTTATTTTAATGGTTAATTTAATACAATTAAGTTGGACGATGTTAATTTAATCTATCTCAATAAATTATAACTGAGTTAAATTGGATAAGGCCAGTAAATAGAATAATTAAAATCATATAGTAATATTTTAAAAAATATATAAAATAATTTAAGTATATTTTTCATCTTAAAAATATTAATTAAAATTATATTTTATTCTCGTTTTAAATTTGTATCATTTACATCTTTATACTTTATAAGATAGAGTAAAGTGGTCTCATAGTATTTTTTAATACGACAAGATTGAATTTTTTTTATTAGAAATAATGAAGTACTTTTGGGTTCAAAGTCTCTGTTTCCTCAGCAGCTCCTTTTTTCTCTCCTCACTATAACAGAGATGATAAACTTAATATCGAAATGATCATGATTGCTCATCCTAGAGGAGGAGGCGGAATAAGAGGTGGTAGACTTGTGATTCTGTAGATGAAAATGGTAAACTCAAGATCAAGATGGATGAAATAATGTGTCATTTTTTTAAGGTGACAATCACAGTATGAAATATGTATAATAGATAAATAAAGACAAATTTATTACAACATTGTCAAGCAATAAATTACTTCCAAAAGTTTAGTAACTTAGAGCTTAGTAATATTAAAGGTAATATATTTTTTGGAGATGTATATATATCAATCATTTGGAGTATTTGGAATATGAGAAACAAAATTATCTTCAAGGATGCTATTAGGGATGTAGAAGAAATATTTTGTTTAACAGAGATTAAAGCTTAAACATGGTTAACGCATAAATTCAAAGAGTAACACTTTTCATATCCGTATATAGTCACCTTCATAGTCTTTTCATATCCGTAAGGGTTGCCTTGTA